TACAGACCTCTGTTGGGCCCTGGCCACGTGGTCAGCGCAACGGATCCCCACGGCCGTTAATCTCGGTTTTGTAGACCGGAACCGCTATTTCCTTGAAACAGCTCCTCAGTTATCCTCACGAGGCTGAGTAGACCCCGTTCCAGACCCACTACTTCTCAGAAAATCTGGTAGCGCCGGGATTCGAACCCGGAACCTCTGCATCTTGAGCCAGGAACTCTGACCACTTGACTACAGAGGCGGTCTGTTACCAAAATCTAGTTCCTTAATTAGTGTGTTTTTCCTTCTTCATAGTTACCATATCTTGTGATAATAAGAAGGATTGCAACCATATCGCGGGCGACGAAAGAGTCCTTAATCTGCATATAACGGAAGTTGCAGCCTCGGTGGATGACTGGTCTGGTTAATAGCATATAACCTGATTGTTAGAAGTTGTCTCATAATCGGCACCAAGCGCTGGCAGTTATGTAGAACTTCAAAACTATCTTTGAGCAGCCCATATGTTGACATGGGGGAGCCAAATTTCGCAACACTCTGTATATTGAGCACAACAGTATTACTCTTATTACAGGGAATACATATTTTTATGTTGGAATTGTAAAGAGCATCATCCTGTATAAATGATAATCACATTAAACTGTATGATTTAAATGTAGAGGTGGGTTTCCAAATTTCTCTAGTCTACAGACCGTTATCTGCTGGAACTTTCTTTTGTATACCACCCTAATATTTAAAAAAACGTATTAAGAATTGTTAAATGGAATGAAATTCAAATTTATTCAACATTAACACTCTCATGAATTTTAAATTGGGAATAATATAAATCTTTTGCTATGAAAGTCCCTTATTTATTTGTGCATAAATAAAATATATTAATTCACATTAGGGGTGACGGATTTAAGTCACATTAACCTTGAAAGGGGAAATATTTACGTGGACACTTGAGTTTGGGAAACTATTTTCTAGGAAAAAAAAACGAATAAGGAAAAGCAAATATCGAAAATGCTTCCACTTCAGAATAATTTTAAGTCCATTTCGAATGCCTTGGAAGTGTCGAGAAACCAATTAGAATTCGTAATTATTTAATTAGATTCCACAGCTGTTGATCTTTCTGGCTTTCCTGTCTTACCGAAAGATGAAGAGGCCATTTTGAAATGACAATAATTGTGTTTACTGATAGAATTATCACGTGTCCTTCTTTCGTTCATTCGCTTCAATGGAATTATAAATGCCACTGCATCAGGAGTTTCCGACATTACTTAACTCAGTTTTCATTCATGAGTCACTTTATAAAAGCAGAAATTTCTCTTTAACTACAGAGAATCAATTTTTTATTCTTACCGAGCTGCGTGGTATATTGGCAATGTTGCAGGCTCTTATTAGGGAGGTGCTCGGTTCGAATATCGATCTGTACTCTGGCTACCCTGACTGAGAATTTTCGTGGCTTTCCTGACACACTTCAGAGAATTACCAAGATATTACATCAGTAATATTATTACTGCTTTCTTCAGATCCTTTCCGCTTCATTACTGGTCAATCATCCTATGACTGGACGCCATGTTGCCATTATAATGAGAGCGTTACAAAATAAACCACAAAATATATCCTTGCATTTTTAACCCCGGCATTATGTGGAAGTGAACTGTATGCTTTACGCTCTGGCCGCTCTGCCACTGGAAAATAGTCTCTAATGTCCATTTCATAGGAAAAGGGTAAGATGCATGCTGTAATGAAGAGAAATATCTCTTGCTCCTTTCAAGAATCGAACTATGATTCCTCGGTCGTCCAGCTCGTAATCCAAGTCACTCTACCAACGGATTTACTCCTGGCCCATTCATAATAATATGGACAGACTAGAAATTGAGTTTATGGCGATATGAGTACGTATGCAGGACGTAAAAAGGTAAAGTTGTCCCTGTGCTAAACTAATTAAGCACTACGCTATGAAGGCGTATGGGGGAGTGGATGTATAGATCCACATTTTCTTGACTTCGGCAGTAGCTTGAGGCGAATTGTTAGCTTCACGCATGGCCGATTTACTCCCCGTACTCATTGGATAGGTTGGATGGACCCCAGAGCCGGTCTGGACGACGTGGAGAAGAGAAAATTCTTGACCCTGCCGGGACTCGAACGCCGATCCCTCGGTGGTCCAGCCCGTAGCCAGTCCCTTTACTGATTACGCTGTCCTATATTATCTAAGTAAGGCATTTAAAAGAGTTATTTGAAATCGATATGTTTAACCCGTACCTCTATGTTTCTTGTAATACTGTTTGTTGTGCCCAGTGTTGTAAGAAAAAGACATTTAGGAAGTGTGCTAGTGACGTAACGTTTCTGGGTGCGTTCTCTCGCGTTTGTTTTATTTTCACGAAACGAGGTATAAATGTTAAAGTAGTAACGGATATAGCGGCAGGTAGAAATATATTTTTTAATTATATATAAACTGTCAATAGACGTAAAATTTATGTGACAGGACGTTTCCTTAAATTATTTTCGGGAAGAAGAAATTTCGGTAATCTTCGAGTACGTTCGGAAACTCGTTGTTGGAAGAATGCCTTCTTCTGTGATTTGGCACCTTGTAGATATTTTGTTAACCGACGTTTCGGAGGAATATACTGCCCCCGTCTTCAGGGTATAAGAAATCCGCTAGCGATGAATGTCGGTTAACAAAATGTCTACACGGTGTCACATCCCAGAAGACGGCATTCTTCGTAGTCATCGCCGTGAAAACATCAAAGCTTACATCAATGTTGCTTTGAAATATACGCACAGAGAAATAATTCTATGACGTGTCTGGTTTATGTTTAATTACCTAGAAAAAAAAAGATTGAATTTTAATAAAGCAAAGGATGAAACAACATGTAAAATTATATTTTAATTAAATATGTATTTATGTATATGCAGACGTATAAATTGAGGTTCGTGAAATATTGTTTAATATTCTTCGAAAACAAGAGATTTCGGTAATCTTCGGTTATTTTCGGACAAATATTATTGATTGTTGAACACAAAAGTTTGCAGATGTACTCAGTAGGGGAACTGTTATGTAGATTTCACTTCCTTCTGCTGGATATACATAGCCCCGTGAAGCTAACAGAATACATATGTTAGATATAAAATATAAACCCTATTTTGAAGCACTTTCTCAGGCATTTTGACCGCCCACAAAATACAATCGTCCTTCTGCACCCATCGAGTAACTCGAGAAGAGCTGAAAGATTTTTATAAAATCTTGTATTGGAGAGTGTTACGAAAATATGTCGACACTTTAAAATTGTGGTTAAAATCAGATAAAAATAAGTGAAACTACATGGAAACCTGCAGTTATTTCTGCTTTCACCACGAGTATAGCTCGCTAGTTTTCATCAGAGCGAAAAATGTTTTGAACAAACTTCAAGGTTGCTTCACGTTGCTTTATGGCGTACAGACAGAAATAAAGGGGTGGACTGAGGGAATTTAATTGGCACCCCACAGTACTCCGAAGGCACCAAGAAGTGAAATAAGACTTCGCAATTATATTTTGATACACTTGCCCATCACTTGAAGATGACAGTACAGTCACATCCCATAACATTTTATGTACATATACACTATGCAGTGAACATTTTCCAGCAATAAATCAACTCCTGAAGTTTCAACATCATGACGATTCGTTATTGATATTGAGTCTGCTCTTGCAACTTTTTATCGGATGGATGTGTGTAGTGTTAACAGAGTTTCGGAGGAAAATGATGCCTCCATCTTCAGGGCAGAAGTTGGGTGGGGTGGTGTGCCGCCCTATGCAATGGGTACAGTGGATAGGGAATCTCAATTCTTACCCTTTCCCGTCACCACCTGCCCTCCAGCAGTGTGGATCCCTCCACAATCTTCCATGTCTGTCGAGTCAACAGCAGAAGAGATTAAGCGCCATTGCTGTTGGTGAGCATTAGGATGGGTGACCGCTTCGCAACACCAGTCACCGATTTATTTTTGTGCACTCAGTAGCCCTAAAAAGGGTCGCTTTGAAAAAAAATTCCTGTTCAATGTGTCAATTGGCTCGGATAGGATACCATCCCCCGGTCTTCCCCAGTGGCTCTCTTTGACAAAAATCTATGTATCCACGAACATCAAATATCCATGTTCATTTCGACCCTGAAGATGGGGTCATAATGTATCTCTGAACCATAGGTAACACGGCCCATATCCACACATTGCCAAAATTCGAAAGCAAATTCAGCATGAAATAACCCACTGTCAGGAAGCTTACAGAAATATTAAATGTATATTTTCTTGAATGTTCTTTAGGTACGCGAGAAATGGCAGTTGGCAGCGGTAATGCCTGTAGAAGAACTGATACCTGCCTCGTATCTGGAAGGGCACACTGACTGCATGTATCTCGGTTCTTGATCGGTCAGTGTTGCAGCTAACAGAAGCCACTTCATTATGGATTGCTGTAAGACATGCAGTTCTATTGTGCGTCTTTACCTGTGCCTCGACAAGTAGCGGCTCATCCAACAGGTACGCAAATAAATGCATACAAACGAATTATATTTAAGTTACAAGATTTGTAATCTAAATAGAATGGAGCATCGCTGAAGGATTAACAACTTCATACTCGTCCAACTACAGGGTGTCTTGTTTCTATGCAGTGAGAGCGCCGTAGAACCGACAAGGATGTAACCTATAATGGCTGAACCATGGCCGATGGGTCGATGTGACACGGTTCAGCAATAAAGTGCACACCCTGTATTTTGTACAACGCAAAGTATAAATGACAAAATCTTGACATGAGATTTGTACCATGTACTAAATCACGATCCATAGCCTGTCCTTATAAGACTGCGATCTTTATTTGTGACAAGAAGATATATAGGATGTAGATTTATCTCAGATCCAAGAACAATTTGAACATGAAGACATAAATAGAGTGCCAAAGAAATGTAAATATATAATATCGCTGTTTCTTTTCATGCCAAATATTTTTGGCTTGACCAAGTCGAATCATATTAACAAAGATATTCGGAGGTGAAACACGGGTTAGAATGCCAAAAGGCGCATAACCCAGTTTCAGTGACATCGACAAAAGAATGCATCATCCTTCAGCGCAAGTAAGAGGAATGACGATAAGTTTACTTGGAAGAAAGTATTAACATTAATTATACAGCACTCATTATGTTACTTGCATCTAAACGATCATGCAAACATCACAGAGCGGGAAGAACTTACAACAGTGTCATCAAAAACACTTATTTAATGAAGGAGATTAATGAGACAAACATGGTTGTAAAATAATTAAGGTATCTGATTTCAGCGACCTGTGAAAGGTTAACGTTTATGTACTTATGAAATGAAATGAAATGAGTTAAGTACTCTTCCTTGATGTGATAGAAGGGCCGGAAAAAAAAACCGAATTGGTAAATTTTGTTCTAGTTTCTAAGTTTCAGTTTCCGAGTATCATATTGAGAAATGGAACATTTTAATTTTTAAAAATTAAGTATGGAAAAATAACTTAAAAGATAAACAAGTTAATTAACGATGAAACAAATTAATTTATTATTATTTAGTAAGACACAGCATAAATATTTTAAAATGTCCTTCATTCTGAACTCAATAAGTTATATGTATTATGCTAAATTCAAAAGAGGAATTTTTGTGTTATTATAATATACATTTCCAAAACTTATTTTGTGAATACAAATTGATATTATGTGATAACTGTCGAATATGTTGCATTTAGTTTAATTCTGTTTAGCATAATACATAACTTATAATATTTCATCATAGCAGTAATATGAAGGTTTACATTGAGATAAGTATTTTGAAGTGTTGAAGGTATTATAAGATAATGAATAAGATGAATATATACAGCATATCAATCTTAAGATTAATACATAATTTATCTAAATTGTGTGAGTGTGTTGGTTTAAACATGTGGTGCTACCTCTCATATTTCACCTTGTGTGATCTAGTAAAATATATACATTATGGATTCTAATATTGGCATTTCAAAACATGTAAAATTGCAAGTAAAGAAATGTTATTTGAACATTATTAATTAAAAAAAAGAAACGTGTGAATACAACGACATCCAAGAGTTTGTTTCATGCAAAAGAAAATGAGAAGCTATGGAAAATTCGTGTTCCAGTGTTGAAGTCAAGCAATACGGGTATAAAACAAAAAAGAGAAAATTGATGTTATGTAACATACATAAGAATGTGAAATTTTCTCTACGTTAGGAATGTTGTTAGTGAATCAAATATAAATAGAGATTTAATTTTAAAAATAAAACAATAACAATTTTACTTAATATTATAGGTTACCATGGAGTGTACACACAAAGGAAATAACTATTCACAGTGAAGAAACAGACAAAATAATTAAAATATAACTTTACTCATGTATGAATGCTCATTTCAGACACTAGAGATATTAAGTTTTAACTCCTATTTTTCATAAAACGCTGAAGTTAAAGACATCTAGAGAAGGAAACCCCCTTCCCCAAAATTTAATATATGTGGTATTTGTCTTGAAACTGCTTGCAATGAAATGATGGAACATCGAAACTGAACGTACAATTTTACGTTTATGAGTAATGCGAATATGGAATGTAGTGCTAATATTGTGAAGAATATGAATGGGACATTTGGGAAATAAGAAGATTGGAATGAAACGGGAGTGTATATAAATATATCTAAAACAAACACATTTCTTTAACCCATCAGTGACTTCAGTAACATACCATTGTTGTGTTCACAAGAGAGTTTAAAAGGAACGCACATTCCATTCGAACATTCACAAGAAAAATTATGATGTGTGATTTGTCTGAGTGATTTTTCTCAACATTTATGCTTAAAGAATGTCATTATAATGATATTCACTACGCCTAATAAAATAATTCTTATTCATTTAATCAAAATAATGCTTTTAAATAAATAGATTACGCGTAAGATTTATTTTTCACAATACCCGGTCACAAATAAAATCTAGTACAAGTTTATACTTAAGTTTAGCGCACACTGTCATTATTTTTATTTTTGCATAGTGATTGAGTCGCTGAGGTAACCTCATTGTAAATCGCAGTATTTAGTCGTTATGTGCGTAATTTTTTACGTATTCACGCGACGTTCTTTATATGTCATTTTATTATCCGTGGTTTTATGTCGGTGTCATAAGAAGCGTCAGTGTCCTACCACGCGGCCGCAGTAGTGAGCTGCGCGCGCAGTTTCCTTGACTCATCCCGCCATTTTGATTCTGTCATGTTCCGTATTCCTCCATCTTGCTCAGTATTCGTTCAGTGCGTTTCCGATTTGCGCGACGATTTTCAAGATGGCCACGCCGTGTATTGGGGCTCAACTGTACCAGAAACATCAGTAACAGAAACTGAAACTGTAGTCTGAATTTGTTGAAACTGTTTTTATAAGTGTACATAAACACAGCAACGTGCATATATTTTCACATAGAATTTCCTTCGGCAACTTTTATTTTTCATGGTGTACCATACTAATGTTAGCACATTAATTGTTCTCGAATACAGCTAAACCTATCCGTGTAGCAGCCTGTGGAGGCCCATAGTGTTGTGGGACATCGAGGCTCCCACATTTTCTAAACAGTCGGCTCACAAATGGCGGTGATATCACGCACCGGCCGCCCTTTACCCACCAGGGCAATAGTTCCGGCTGGAAGGATTAGGCCAATTGAAAAATCCAATGACATTATCGGGAATCGAACCCGCGACCTTCCGGCTCGTAGCATAGCACCTCAACCTCCGACAAATAATGACAGAGAAGTACTATCAAGCTGTTCTTATTGTATATATTCGTAAGGTCCCCGTTCGCTTTAAGTACAATGTACAACGCTGAAAATTGAAAATGCAACTTTTTTTTATTGCTAGTGGGGTGGGACTAAGTCCCTTGTACTGCGCCCACTTCTGGCCTATTGTACCAGCCCCAGATGATAGGTGAGGGTGATTGTGGAGCAATTGGTGGAATGAAGATTGGCAGGGGAAAAAGAAGTACTCGGGGAAAACCTGTCCCAGCGCCACTTTGTGCACTACAAGTCCCACTTGACCAGACCCGGGATCCTTGTACTGCGCTCACTTCTGGCCTATTGTACCAGCCCCAGATGATAGGTGAGGGTGATTGTGGAGCAATTGGTGGAATGAAGATTGGCAGGGGAAAAAGAAGTACTCGGAGAAAACCTGTCCTAGCGCCACTTTGTCCACTACAAGTCCCACTTGACGAGACCCGGGATCGAACCCGGGCCGCCGCAGTGGGAAGCCAACGACTAACCGCTTGAGCTATGACGCGGTAAAATATTTTTGGGATACCTGTATAGTTTTATGTGTTGGCAGTCTGGGTAATGACGCCACGATCTCTAGATGATGTATGCAGGCTTTGTATCGAGTGAAGTGTAATTGTAAGATCCGCGCGATCAGCTGTCCCGATCCGTAATTAAATTCCACGAAATATTAGTGCACATAGTAACTTCATTTTATTTACGCCTTCACCTTTCCTCCTATACGTACAGACATTATTGTAACAGTGAGATTAAATATCTAAAATTACATAATTTCTGGTTAACATACCAACTATCCTTCATTTCCCCTTCACATCTCTTCCTACTGGGGCACGCGGTAGCATAGCTGGTTGAGGCACTATACTACAAGCCGGAAGGTCGCGGGTTCAAGTCCCGATGAAGTTACTGGATTTTTTTTTCAATTGACCTAATCTTTCCAGCCGCACTATGGCCCTGGGGTCGACTCAACCTCTAACAGAAATGAGTACCAGGAAACTTCCTGTGGGTAAAGGACGGCCGGTGCGTAAGGCTGACAACCTTGCCGCCATCTGTGAGCCGATTGTCTAGAAAATGTGGGAGCCTCGACGTCTCACAACCCTATGGGCCTCCACAGCCTGTTACAGGAATACTTTTACTTTTTACTTTAGTTACCATAGCAACGAGTTTCCGAGCAGTAACTCTTTGCATGTACATAAATTACGTAACAAGCCACGCAGGAGAAATCACTCATTTGTGCCAGTGTATCGTGTCCATTCTGTGAGTGCTAACAATATTCCCATGTGTATACTATACAAATGAGACGCATTTACGATTTGTTGTTTATACGTATTATTTGTGGGAAATGCGTTAAACGTTGGCCTCGACGTATCATTCGGTAACCCGTAAGACTGGAAATACATAAGGAGAAAGCAAGGAAGTTAATAGTACGAACGTTTATGTAACAATAATTCGACCTCGTTAAACTCTTCATGGATATTAAATTAGTCTCTCTATAATCTTTTCAAATTACCGAAAAAAGAACATCAGATCACAATGTAAACAAAACTGCGATATACAATTTGAAACTACCATCAGCGTGTTTCAAATATTATTTCAGTTATGCCCAGAACGAAGCTATGTTACTGAGTTCTTTACCAGATATGGTTAGGATAATAAAAATGTCTCCCTTCTGTGAAGGGATGTTTTAATTGTAAAGAATGTACTCTATTATATATAAATAGAAACCGTTGTAACGAGATAAGAATTTATACACAAAAATTCATGTTAAATTATTTAACGTATTAATAATGTAAATTGAGGTTTTATGAAAAATAATGTTGTGATAATAAAATTATATGAAACATTTTGTATATCATATACTTAATCCATTCTCACCTCCATGTATACGTCCTAGAGTTTATTATTGCAACAGGATTCATTACTTCTTTACGTACAATCTGACTTTTTACGTGTGGCCGTTGTCAAATGCGCAGTGCGTTTGGTCCATCATAATAACAGAATGTGAGTTTGGGTGTTAATCAAGTAGAAAATGTGAGGCAGTTAACACTACGTGTAGTGTGTGAACAGTTTCAGTAATGTCTCAAGACTTAGCCCTTCAACAAGGTGTGACACGGCTGCAAATCTCTGGTCTTTTTCAACTGATGATACGTTTCCAGAAAATGATACATTTCCAGAAGATGAAGAGGAACTTGGTGAGAGTCTGAGCCATTCGGCTAAAGGCACGTCCAAATTACTCGTGCTCGTGTGACTCGCTATGCTCCAGAGTAATGTGACGATATGAAAAGTCACGAGATAAGCAAATTTTAAATTTTTAATTTAAAAACTATAGCCAAGAAATTAAAATACGACTAGAGCCTATACACACTACGAGTAAATATACGGATCCTCACGCGCCGAAGCCTGGCGGGCAACTGAAGTAGTGTGGACGAAAATTTACGAGCACAAGCCTGGCAAGCACGAGCACGAGTAATGTGGACGCGCCTTAAGACTCATCGTCATATATCGTATGTATCATATATATCGTATAGATATCACATCCTCCTTGACTTGATCATTCTACTTATACTTGGAGAAGAGTACAAGTTATGAAAGTCCTCATTATGCAGTTTCCTCCAAACTTCCTATCACTTCATCCCTCTTCGGTCCAAATTTTCTCAACACCCTTTTATCAAACACCCTCAGTCTATGTTCCTCCCTTAATGTCAGAGACCAAGTTTCACACCCATACAGAACCACAGGCAAAATTATAGTTCTGTATATTTTAATTTTTATAACACACAAAATTATTGGAGTTTTGAACTTTGTCCGTCGTTCGGTCTTCTAGAAACTAGAAGACACCGTTTCGGAAACTGAATCTGTTTCCGTCCTCAGGTGAGTGAGGGAGACAGTACGCTGTTCGGTCCCTTAGAAAGAGTTAACCTCAATCACTGGACAATCCCAGCTACAGATATTTACTTAACCGAGTCCAGGCTACATGTAATATCCACTGAACTTTATATTGTTAAGTTTGGGGGCTTCGTCTATGACTCAGTAAGAGATTGAAGTGTTAAGAGGAATATGTAGGCCGCGCCATACCTCAAGCTGTTACTCGCTGGCTTCCCACTGCAACGGCCCGGGTTCGATCCCGGGTCTGGTCAAGTGGGATTTGTGGTGGACAATGTGGCGCTGGGGCGGGTTTTCTCCGAGTACTTCGGTTTCCCCTGCCAATCTTTATTCCACCAAATTCATCATCATAATCATCCGGGACAGGTACAATATGCCAATCAGTGGCCGCCGTGCAGAGTGGACCCAGCTGGACTCCACCCCCAAGTAAGCGAATTTGAAAAATAAAGAGTAATAAGTAATGGTGACAATTTATAAAGTGTCATATCTACATTTCATTGTTATTCAGGTAAATTGTTATTTTTTTCCGTGCCTAATGACCACCTCACGTGGGCATATTTTTTGAATGGCATTCTTAACATTGGCATTAGATATAGCTACATTTTCTTCATAACCCACAGGTAATAATGAGTTCCCACCTACTGAACGGGAAATTTATTGTCTCTTCTGTGAATCGAACCTCGGTAATCCAGCCTTTATCATATTTCATTTGTGTTACTGACAAAGAGAGTGGAAATAGGAATCCAGACGACTGGAAACCCGTCCTGAAGGCGTTAGAGCTACTAGAGAGGAAACGGAAGTTCTGGCATGCACTTCCGCAGCGCAGGTGTTAGCGACTCATTCAGCCTGAAGCGATAGGACATTTCATTTGTTTCTATGAACAGAGTGTCGCATCTTTTGTGAGGAGAATCATGACTTCCAGGTCGCAGCCCAGTCAGCGTTTATCCATTCCTCTGCTTAAAGTCATTTCACTGTAAAGACAACAATATATTCCTTATCGAGGGAAAACGCCCGAATGGCTTGGTTCCTAGAAGCATACCTGGAACAGTAGCACTAAACTAAAATGTTTAATATTTTATTGCACTATTTAGAAGCCGACAGAGCCAGGATAGTGCAGTCGGTATAGCGACTGGCTGCTGGCTGGAGGACAGAGGGGTCGGAGTTCGAGTCATGATGGGGTCAAGAATTTTCACATCTCCAAGTCGTCCAGACGGGCTCTGGGGTCCACGCAGCCTCCTATGCAATGGGTACCGGAGCTATCGTTCCACGGGAGTAAAG